GCAACTCTGCCACCTGCTTCCAGAGCGATGGGAGGGGTCTGCCCTCTGCGGCAGTCAGTGAGCCTGAGAACCAACCGGACTTCAAAGCAGAGCCCCCGGGGAGGCGGTGGCCCTGTGAGTCAGCCGGCCTGGCTGCGGGGCCTGGGGTGTCTGCGGTGGTCCAGCGCCGGCGTGGGGGTGGCGTGGGGGCAGTGACTCACCGCCTGGAGCTGGGAGAGTCAGTAACCCCAGAGGCTCTCCTGCTGCTCCAGGTCTCATTCCTGGGGCTTCAGCCTGGAAGCCAGAGGGTATGAGAAGCAGGACCCTGGGTTCTCTTACAACAGCCCTGCCCTCACCCCTTCCTGTGCACATTCCTGACTCCGGGACTCCTGGACAGCCCGCCCCCACCCCCACCACCACCCCCAGCCCGCTCTCACTGTCTTCAAATGGGCCATCAGCCTTAGTACCTGGGCTTTGGGCTGGTGGGAGGGATGCGCCCTCTCTGACCCTCACATCCTGGAAATAGCCTGGGCTCTGCCACCTCCTGAGCTGCCCTCCCCGCCCCCCCGCCCACATTGCACTGAACCCTGCACACCGGGCACCGGGCACGCCTCTCCCTGGGGCATGAATGGGCTGCCAAGTTGCCAGTGGGGTCTACTGAACGAATTTGATCAAGTCCAGAAGGCCCTTTTCATCACGCCATTCCCAGACCTCCCGATATGCCCTGGGGGCGGGGTGAGCTGCCCTGGGAGTTTGGCATTTTCTCTGATCTCCTCCCCACCTCCCGCTCCCCCCAAGCGCCCAGGCCACATTCTCCCTAGTCTGTCCACCGCCCTGCATGGCGTGAGAGCCAGAGACCAAAGGAAACAGGGAGCAGAGAGGAGCTGCAGAAAGATCTCCTCCAAGAGGGGGCAGGTGGGGACGTAGAGCACAACTTCAGTGTGGCTCTGCGGCCTGGAGCGTCATTCCCTGCACCCAAGGGTTGTGGGCTCAATCCCCCAGCTGGGACCCATATGGGGGGCAACCAATGCTTCTCTCTCACATTGATGTTCCTCTCTCCCCCTCTCCTTTCTTCTCTCTCTAAAATCAATAAAAAGCATATCCTTGGGTGAGGATTAAAAAAAAGAAGAAGAAGCCGAAACTGGTTTGGCTCCGTGCATAGAGCGTCAGCCTGCGGACTGAAAGGTCCCGGGTTTGACTCCAGTCAAGGGCATGTACCTTGGTTGCGGGCACATCCCCGGTTGGGGGTGTGCAGGAGGCAGCTGGTCGATGTTTCTCTCTCACCGATGTTTCTAACTCTCTATCCTTCTCTCTTCCTCTCTGTGAAAAATTAATAAAATATATTTTAAATAAAGAAGAAAAAGCAGCAGCAGCAGCAGCAGCAGCAAAACTGGCCTGAGCAGCCCACCCCCCAAAAACAAATCCACAGAAAACGGGGCAGGGCTCAGGGCTGCCAGGACCCATCACAGAACTTTCCCGACTCTGGTTTGGCGTCAAACCAGGAAGGGATGCCTGCCCTCTGGGATATCCTCTGCCTCTGGGTCTTGAGGGTGCTGTTCCACAGGAAGCAGGATCCCAGGCAGCCCCCACATGACCTTTGGAGGCTGAGGGTGTTTTATCTCTGCCCGCTGGTAGCTGGGAGATGGAGTTTGGAGAGCTTGCCCGGAGAGAAGTTTCTCGAGGTGGTGAGAAATGGGTGGTGGGAGGCGAGGTTTCTAGGAAGCAGAGGCGAGTGGCCAGGAGTGACCGCTCATTCCACACAAGCACTTAACCTCTGACGCGGCCCCGGGCTGGGGCGCTCACCTGGAAAGAAGGCGGCCTTTACTGGCCCTGGGGCTCAGGCAGAGCGTGGGCTCCATGGTTGGGGCTTACTGCACCCCGGCAGGTGGAGAAGGGAGAGCCTGGGAGGAAGGCCTTGGGGCCCCCCAATGCAGTCTGCGTCTGGGCTTGCTAGGCTGAGCGCCCCTGTGGGCAGAGCCGCGTGCCAAGTACTTGGGGAGAGGCAGGGTCCGCAGTCTGAGGGCAGAGACAGGACCAGAGACTGCTCTTGAGTAGGAGAGTAGGGCCTTTGAAGAGACAGGATTAGATCTCAACCATTTCTTTTTAATTGATTTCAGACAGGAAGGGAGAGGGAGAGAGAGAGAGAAACATGGATGATGAGAGAGAATCATTAACTGGCTGCCTCCTGTATGCCCCACACTAGGGGTGTCGAACTCAATCAGAGAAGGGGCCAAAATCTAAAATCCAGCCTAAATCGCGGGCCGAATGGTTTACTGAACAGTCATAAACTTTCATTGTGATGGAAACGCAGCGGAGTGCAGTGATGACAGCGCGGTGTGGGCCACATTGCAAGGCCTGGCGGGACGGATTTGGCCCGCGGGCCTTGTGTTTGACACATGTGCCCCACACTGAGGACCAAGCCCACATGCCCAGGAATCGAACCCGGGACCCTTAAGTCCATAGGCCAATGCTCTATCCGCTGAGCCAAACGGGCTACGGTTCAACCATCTTTATAGATAACAGAACTGGGGTTGCTCCATCTCCCTCTAAGTTCCCGCAGGGTAAATGGGCCTCCTTCCTCTACTCTCCCCCGCCCCTGAGAAGAAAGCCAGCTTGAGTGTAACTTTCTCCGCTCCCCCAGCTACCACCAGGGGACTTCCGTCCTTCCCATTCCCTTCGTCCACGGCCCTGATTTCCCAGGCTTTCCCCAGCTCACCGGGACGCCCTCCCACTTGTCGCGATGGGGACACTGCCACGTTGCCAGTGCCGTAGGCCACAGCCAGAGCTGGCGTCCAGATGCCTCACCCCACCCTTCCCCCCCAGAAGCAGCCTATTGCCTCTGAGTGCCTTCCTTCCCAGCTAGTGCCCCCCTCCCCAAGTCTGCCCTCCTGAGGGCGTCCTTTCTAACTGAGGACGCCAGCAAAAGAAATGGGGGGGGGGGGAGAATGCTGGGCCCTGGGCCCCAAAGGGAGGGGGGAGTAAAAAGGAGGCACTTAAGGCACCTACTCCCCGTGGGCAGGCTCTAGACAGCCGCTGGATACACCCAAATGTTAATCACCAATTAGCACAATTCAGGTGGAAAGGGAAACTTTATTACGTGTAAAATGGCCCTAATGTGGCAGGCGCTGTGGGCTTAATTCCTTGAGATAAGATGCTTTTAGGCTAATCAGAGGGGCTGCGGGCGGGATATAAAGGAGGCTGGGCTGGCAGAGGCAGAGGCAGCTCCGGGTCAGGAGGAGGAGGAAGAGGCGCCCTGCCCTTGCCCTCTGGGAGGCTGGAAAGGACGGCGGTGAGAGGGCAGCTGGGACGGGGACCCGAGGGGTTGGCCTGGGACCCCGGGAGCTCGGCACCTGGCACCCCTTTCTCCGCTCCGTCGGAGGTCTGGGGGCTCCTAAGCCCCCGTGATGAGGCAGGAAGACGGGGTCTCGCCGCCCGCACATGTCGAGCCTTAGCTTTGGTTGTTAGGGCCTGGCAGGAAGGTTACTTATACTGACGACCCCGGATGCAGCGGAGGGGAGGTGGGGGCAGCCCTGGGCGGAGGGGTCAGACCTCAGAAAGAAGTCTGAGAAGGCAGAAGGGGATGGTTCCCGGGTGGTTTTCACTTCGGGCCAGAGGGCTGTGATGATTTAGGTGACAAGCCAGTGTGAGCCTGGGAGGCCGGCTGGTATGAGCTCTGGAGGGCTCTGAGGGGAGAATCCTGCCAAACCACATGCCTATGATGTCTAGCCACGGAGCCGGGAAGGGGGGCTGTCCAGGCACACAGATCCCACTGCTTACTCCTGCCTGGAGCACCCCTCTCTCCCTCCCCTCCCCTCTACTCTCCCCCACCCCCTGCCCCCCAGACTCCACTGAGACACAAAACAAAAAGGCAGCTCACCTCTGGGCCCGATTCCTTGCTCCTTCTAGTTACTAGCTGTTACTTAGCTACTAGTTACTTCTAGTTACTAGCCGTACTGCCCAGCACTCCCCACCCTCCCTGAGACCCTGCGCCAGCCTCTTGGGAAAACTCCGAACCACAGGACTCTTTCGGGACCCCCAGGGCTCTGAGGCACGCTGACCGCTCGCTCACACAGTGCTCCCCACCCCCATCCTGCTCCTGCTCTCTCTCAGCCCAGGAATAACCCTTGGAAGATGGTGGCCATGAAGCTCTCTCTGCTGCTGGTGTCCGTGCTGCTGGCCGTGGCGCTAGGAGAGAAGGAAGAGAGCCCTTCCAGGTGCGGAGAGGAGGGAGGAGCCGGCTGCTGGGGGGGGGGGGGGGGGGGGGGGAGACAGGGCTCTGGTCTTGGGGGCGTGAGAAAGCAGGAATCCTGGGCCAAGAGAAAAGAAGCTCCGGGGGAAACTGCCAGGAGCCTAGCAGAGAGCAGAGTGAGGACAGGAGCCGAGAGGATTTCTCATGAGCTACTGCTTAGGCCTCTGGAAGGCCTTCTCAGTGGCTAAGCATCTGAAGCAGATGAGTACAGCTCCCTTAACCATTCCTTCCGGCGAGCACTGGGTCACCTAACGGGATAAAGGACCCCCTCGCCGCGTGTACAAGAGCGGGAGATGCACGTGAAGAGTGGTCCACAAAGCCCCTGACCTCATGGCGCGTACAGGGCCAAGGGGAAGACAGACAGAGAATCACCCGGGCGAGCTGTGAGGAAGAGCAGGGAGCACTGGGCATGAGCACAGCGGGGGGCTCTGTGGTTTGGGGACCAGGAGAGACCTATCCGAGTAACGTACTGGACACTCTTGGCCGCAAGGACAGCACAGGCTCATGTGCGTTCAGTGATGTGAACCCAGGCACGGCTGTCAGAGACGTGTACGAGAAGTTGAGAACATAGACCTGGGCCGGACTGCCTGGGGTGAACCCTGGAGCTGCCACCTATGCTGTGCGCTACATCCATCCCTCTGCTCCCTGGTTTCCTCATTCACCAAAAGGGGGTGTGGCTAGAGTCTGCCTCCTGGGGTGGCGTGAGGATGGAAAGAGTGTGCGTGTTAAAGGGCTGTGAGAGGCCCTGCCTCACGCTCAGGGGCTCACTGTTGTCAGCGGTGACCGGGAACCAAAGACCTAAACCAGGCGTGGCCGGGGCCAGAGGCGTACAGGGAGGCCCTGGGAGCCAGACCTTTGGGACCAGGGGCCCCTCTGATCCCTCTTCGCCCAGAAGCCGAAGCCACACACACGAACGAGGCAGGAAGTGAGCCTTTCTGCTGAAAATAAAGTCCAAGGGGCTCAATGCAGAGCCAAGAGGGTGTCTCCACAAAAAACGGACCCCGAGAAATGGGCTGGTTCATGTTCACACGCTGGCCTCCTGCCAGCGACAGTCACGCGTGCCAGGACGGTGAACCCCTCCACCCTGCCCCTTCATGGCACCCCGGCTTCTCCTCTCCCCTCCCTGCCCCTCAGAGTCCACCTGAAGGTCAGAGGCTCCACACCTCGAGGCCGCAGGTACGCCGAGGGGACTTTCATCAGTGACTACAGTATCGCCATGGACAAGATCCGCCAACAAGACTTCGTGGACTGGCTGCTGGCTCATCAGGGGAAGAAGAATGAGTGAGTCATCGCGCAAGCGCCTCCTGTCCCCAGCCTCCGGCTCCCTTCCCGCATTCAGACCAGGGCCATGGCGGCCCCTGCGATGCACAACTCCAGGTGGCGCCTTTCACTGAGCGACGATAGGGAGCTGGACTGCGTGGCGGCCCTGCCTTGGGCAGCGGTCCAGTGTGGGGGCAGGACTAGGGCAACCTCCCAACCCTTTTCTCCCAAGGGGAAGGTCAGGGAAGATGTGGGGCTGACTGAGGAGTCGAGGCGGGGGGTGGGGGGGGGGGGAGGGTGTTAGGGCGGGCGGGGGGAGGCAGGGCAAGCTGAGCTGCTGCCAATGACTTTTTGGTGGTGGCCTCTTCAGACTCGGGAAATAGAATGAACTGCCCTCATCCTACCTCCTTCTCTTTGCCAAATGTCTCCATGCCCTCACTGCTTGGTTGGCATGGTAGGTTCTGGAAAGCTGTTCCCTGGCAGCTGAAGACAAGCGGTGGGTGAGGAGGTTGAGGGGAGAAAGAGGTACCCTCTGTGCTGCCACCCACTCCCTAATCCTTATCTTACCAGCTGGAAACACAACATCACACAGAGGGAGGCCCAGGCCCTGGAGCTGGCCCATCAATCTAACAGGAAGGAGGCGGCCAGGGAGCAGCAGGGGTGAGTCAGCCCACAGGGGAAGGAGGGTGTGGGGCCTCCTAACCCACCCCCACCTCATTGTTCCCGCTCCCAGACTCCAGAGCAGGGCCAGGCCCCAGATAAGCAGCCCCTTCCACTCGGAGTTCAAAGAGGGGTCTTCGCTGAACTCTCGGAGGTCAGCCTGAGCTTAGGGGAGAGGCCTGGGCGGGATGGGGGCGGGGTGCATGGGAGGGTATGGGGCCGGGGTTTCTAAGATTGATGACTTCGTGTGTAGTTAGGGGCAGCTAAAGAGACCTCAGGACCGGCTTCCCCACGTCTCCCTGCCACACACCAGGAAGGACATCTGTGGGCCTGGGCCCATCCTGTCCCACGGCCAGTCCCTGAAGGCAGTTGCCCGCCTCTGAGGAGGCTGAGGAATCTATGGCACAGATGGTTACGAAGAGCGAATGTCACCGCAATAATCTCTTGGGGGTTCGGACTGCATTCTGGGATACTTGTAGAGTGGAGGGGGGGATGTCTCCCACTACAATTCGGTTTGGCTTTGCCTGAGGTGAAGATTGGCAGGCAGATAGGGTTGGCGTTTTAAAAGCTGGGGGAACCCAGAGGCAGCTGTGTTGACTCCCTCCCCCGTCCCCTCCCTGGGAGTCCCGGCCTCGTATTTACTCTCTCTGGGCGGGGCCCGGGCTAAAGCAGCCCGCCTGGGCTTTCTCCTTTGCAGCTCCCTACCCACCAAGCCCAGGGAGGAGGACCTGCTGAAGGACTTACTGCTCCAAGAGCTGCTGGCCTGGATGGTGGATCAGACGGCGCTCTGCAGCCCCAGGTGGCAGAGGGGAGGCTTGGGGAGGCTTGTGTCGTGGTTATAAGCTTGAGTATTGGGGTCTGACGCAGGTTCGAATCTTCACCCCAACATGGGCTGGCCCAATCTCAGGCTCCCCGAACTTCACTGTTTTCTTGAAAATCGGGCACTATTGAAACCGATTCACGAGGCTGCTGTGGGTTTTAAATAAGATACCGTAAGGAAAAAGCCGAGAGCGACCTCTGTAGCTAGTAAGAGTTCAGTAATGGTGGCCGCTATTAGTACTGCTTGCCCTTCTTTCTCAACCTCTTCCAAGTGAGATGCTCTCTCCCCTCTCTGCCCACCTCGCTGACCTGCCCATCCTGTCCTCAGCTCCACCTCTGTGCCTTGGTGCCATGGCACCTTCCCAGGGATGGAGGCACGATGCCCTTCCCTGTAGCTGCTGCTGGTCTCAGTGGTCATTGGATCCATATCCCTATTAGGATCCATTTATGCCCTAGAATAGTGGTCGGCAAACCGTGGCTCGCGAGCCATATGTGGCTCTTTGGCTCTTCCACAAAATACCACTTGCGGGGGCGCACGTACAGTGCAATTGAAGGAGTACCCTAATTAAGTTTCTAACATGTACCTACCTATATAGTTTAAGTTTAAAAAAAAAAAAACTTGGCTTTCAAAAGAAATGTCAGTCATTGTACTGTTGATATTTGGCTCTGTTGACTAATGAGTTTGCCGACCACTGGCCTAGAGGAAAGGGACAGCTGAACTCCATGAGAGACCCACCCACCTAATGGGTGAGACAGGACACTCATTCCGAGTGCAGATTCCCAGGCACAGAAACCAAAGACATTTAGGCCAGCGGTCACCAACCTTTCGGACCTCGTGGACCACTGACCATCAGTTGGCGACCGCTGATTGAGACTTCCATGCTGGGGAGCTGGGGAGGACTGAGGGCACAAACGTGGGAGGACTCCCTGAGGGAGGCTAAGAAGGTGAGGGGAATGTGACCACGACAATAGAGAAGAGGGTATGAGAAAGTCTCCGGGCTTTTTGAATCACTTTGATTATTTATCATTAGAAAGGTGCTCTGGAAGTGGGAGCAGTTGAACTATGGCTGGGTGCCAGGATAAATTTACTTTGCTGATGCCAAGCTGATAACCACCCTCCGTCCCCTCCTCTCTCTCCTCTCCACAGGATTCAGTGACTCTGACTAAACCCCGCTCAGGACTGGACTCTGCCCTTCCCTGACTCAGCTCCTGGGTACCTAGACAAGCCAAATCAATAAAGTTTAAGCTGAAATAAATCTTTGTGCCCATTGTCAAAATATTTTCAAATGTCTACTGAGCTCATTTATGTGCCGTGTACCACCCAAGAGAAAGAAGATATGGCTCCGACTCACCTGCTAATTCATCTATTTATTCTGTAAACACTTACTGGAAACTTAACATATTCGGGGGTTGTGCTCAGCATGCGGGAATGAGGGAAACCAGTACCATCCTTGTCCCTGTGAGGGGTTGACAGGCTGGTGATGAAGGCAGACCTTCATCTGTAAACACACACACACAATGATCACGGAGCATGCTGAGTTCTGCAGAGAGGAGGTTGCTATGAGAGAGGACAGAAACCGGATCCAGGTGGAGTCAGGAGGGCCTCTTGGAGAAAATGACATTTAAGCTGAATAAGATTTGAAGGATAAAAATGGCCAGGCCAAGGGTGAGTGGAGCCTTCATATTAACCAGAGTTATTATTACAGCAACATGGGCAATGGGGAGAAGAGGACAGGCAGGTCTTGACAGGTGGGCAGAGGCCATGTTAGAGCTTTTGGATTTTACCCTGGGTGCAAGGACAAGTCTGGGAGGGATTTTAAACAGGGTCAAGTCACAGAGGATCTATTTGCATTCCCAAACCATCACACTGGTGAAAGCAAGAATTACTATAGTATAGCCCTTTAGCTGGTTTGGCTCAATGGATAGAGCGTCGGCCTGCGGACTGAAGGGTCCCTTCATTCTGGTCAAGGGCACATGCCCGGGTTGTGGGCTCGATTCCCAGTGGAGGGCGTGCAGGAGGTAGCCAACCAATAATTCTCTCTCATTATTGATATTTCTATCTCTCCCTCTCCCTTTCTCTCTGAAATCAATAAAAATATATTTTAAGAAAGAATTACTAGTATATTGAGATGATTAGGGATGAAAGGGGAAGAGGAAGACCAGTAAAGAGGATTTTGCAGGATTCCAGGTTTATACTAGGGTGGTGGTGGTGGGGACGGTGGGGGGAGCAAAGTGGGCAAACTCAATATACCCAGAAGTCAGTGCCTTTACCTCCCATGTTCAGAGCCTTCCCCACCTCAGCTTGCTGCCTTCTCCAATGCCCTGCATCCACAGAGATGATATACCTTCTCTCCCTAGCTCGGGTCACCTTTCCCTGGAATGCCCTCCTTGATCTAGTCATAGTTTAGTAGACTACTAGAGTCAAACACACCTAGATTCAAAGCACTTACTAGCTCTGTGAGTTAGCAAACTAGTTTCTTTGTGGTCAATAAAAGTTAACCTTTGTTATTATTACCCACACACCTAACCCTTAGTTGAAAAGGGTATTAGTTTAAATCAGGGAGTGGCAAGCAGGATGGCTAATGGTCTGGGTCAGTAACAAATGATCATGAGCCAAGTGAGGAGGGTGTAAGACAGCAGGAAGGATGGGATCTGGGGAAATGGAAGAGACACGTTCACCTAAAATCTTTCTGGTGCCAAACAACCCTCTTCTGAGAGCTGAATTGGCCTAAGCACTGTCAGTTTGCCATCTCTCCCATATTTGGTTTCCTCTCCTCTATAAACTCCTGAATGTGTACCACACAATTTAGAGCATGCCTTTGTTCAGAGGATGTATTTTAATGATTCTCCATGATAGTACCGAATGTCTTGGGGAGAAGTTTGAATCTAGATTTCTGAATTCTTGGGTATCTCTTGAAATCACTAAATCAGAAACGGTTATTTTAAAATATTTTATGCAATGTTCTTGGTATGGGGCAGGCATTGTGCTCAATCTCCTATAAACATTTTTTTTCAGCCAAAACCAGTTTGGCTCAGTGGATAGAGCATTGGCCTGCGGACTGAAGTGTCCAGCCAAGGGCATGTGCCTTGGTTGCGGGCACATCCCCAGTGGGAGGTGTGCAGGAGGCAGCTGATCAATGATTCTCTCTCATCGATGTTTCTAACTCTCTGTCCCTCTCTGTATAAATTCAAGAAAATATATTAAAAAAAACATTTTTTTAAACTTTAAAGTATTTCTTTATTCTTTTAAAAATAAAAATATATTTACTTACTTTAGAGAGAGAGGAAAAGAGGGAGGGAAGAGAAAGAAAAATAATTTTGTTGATCAGAGCCCTGATCGGTTTGGCTCAATGGATAGAGCTTCGGCCTGCAGACTGAAGGGTCCCAGGTTCTATTCCAGTCAAGGGCATGTACCTTGGTTGCGGGCACATCCCCAGTAAGGGGTGTGCAGGAGGCAGCTGATTAATGTTTCTAACTTTCTATCCCCCTCCCTTCCTCCCTGAACAAAATCAATAAAATATATTTTTAAAAAATCATTTTGTTGCTCCACTTATCTATGCATTCATTGGTTGATTCTTATATATGCCCTGACCGAGGATCGAACTCACAACCTAGGCTGACACTAACAACTGAGCGATTCAGTCAGGGCTGAAGTTTTTTTAAATTATTTTTTTGTTGTTCAAATTTATAAACATCATTTAAAAGTCATGATGATCTCATTGAAAGCCTCATCACAACCCTTTAAGTCACACATGTGTCAAACACAAGGCCCGCGGGCCAAATCCGTCCCGCCAGGCCTCGCAATGTGGCCCGCACCGCGCTGTCATCACTGCACTACGCTGCGTTTCCATCACAATGAAAGTTTATGACTGTTCAGTAAACCATTCGGCCCGCGATTTAGGCTGGATTTTAGATTTTGGCCCCTTCTCTGATTGAGTTCGACACCCCTACATAACACCATGATAGCTGCTAACCATGTTCTACACTGCCTCCATGAGGCAAAGAATTAAAAGCCTATCCTACCAGCCACCTTGCCGCAAGCCGGTGAGTCACTTAAAGCAAGTGAGGGCATCTGTCACAGCCAGTATTCATGGTGCACTGTGGCCACGAGCTTCTGAGAGCCATTGTTAAATTGTCAGGAATTTTGAGAGCAGGCTGTAAAACCACTGATAGCTTGAAATTGGCCATGGACAGAGGATTTATACCATGGCAATCCAATGCCCTGCATTCACCTGGAGCCTCCTGTCCCACCTGGAGAGGTTGTTAAACACTTACGAGCATATTACTGGTCAGCATCCTTTCTCTCAAAGTATAAAGGAGAACAGATGTGTACGAATAAGGGAATAAGCACATCTGCTTGAGGATGGCAATGAGGTTTGTCAAGGGTCAATGTCTGTATCTAAAGGAATAAAGGAGTGAATACATATATGTGCATTTGAGGATATGGATAGTTAAATCTAAGGTCTAGGGTGTGAGTTAGGGGTCAGTGTGTGCACCTTAAGCTGTCATACAGTGCGAGTCAAAAGTGATAAATGGGCCTGGCTGATATTTCTCAATGGTTATTCTTGGTTGTAGGCTCCATTCCCAGCACATGCAGGAGGCAACCCATTGATGTTTCTCTCTCACATCCTTGTTTCCTCTCTCTCCCTTCCTCCATCCCCTCTCTTCTCCACTCTCCCTAAAATAATAAAATTAAAAAAATAAGTCAATGGAAAAAATATCATGTGGGGATTAAAAAAAAAAAGTGATAAATGAAGGTGTGTGTAGATGGTGTCAATGGGTACCTAAAGGACCAAGTTTTTGTGTTAGCAAATGGTGTAGTAGGAAAATGAGGATATGAGTTCAGTGTATCAGTATGGGACTAGTGTGTTTTTCACAGAAAGGGGTGGAGAGGTATATTAGAAGTCAGTGTGTATGGGGGGTGGGGTCTGAAAAAGCTAGTATCTGTTGAAGAGGACAAATATATGTTTGAAAAAGGTTGTGTCTAAAGGGGCGTATGCTATCTGAGCTAGTGTCTGAGACTGAATCTGAAAGACAATTATGAAAGGCTGAGTGATTGTTTTAGCCTTGGTCCGTGCATCTGATAAGACTGTCCTCTGCTTCAAGTAACAGAAAAACACAAAGTAACAGTGGCTTTAACAAGATAGAAAATTATCTCTTTCTTGTAAACAGCCAAAGGCAGGCAGTCCAGGGCTGGAGTAACATCTCTGCTCCACGAAACCCTCAGGGACCCAGGCTCATAGGACTCACAGCTCCATCAGCTCTTAAGGCTGCAAACGGCAGCTAAACATCTTGCTACCAATCTCTGCACCATCCTCTTATCCTTTTACTAGGACCCCCTCTAATAACATCATTCACTTGGGTTTTACCTGGACCTCATTCCCAGCCCAACTTTTCCTGCAGTTTCATACAGAAATAACAATTGGCCATCTCTCCTGTGATGGCCCGAAGACCACAATTTCAAAACTACTCTTAATTATTGCCCCAACTTCATGCTGTGGTCTCTCCACTCCCCCAACGGCACCATCCTTGGTGCTCAAGCCAGAAAATTGAGCATCCTGCTGACTTTCCCTACCTATCTTGGCCCCATATTGTCAGCTTTATCATTTCACCTTCTTCCTGTCTCCAGAATTTGCCACTATCTTAGTTCTGGCCATCATTTCTAGTTTATTTGGCAGAAACAGACTTAAGTATAGGTCGCCACTACCTGTTCTAAACAAAAATTTCATCTTCTTACTCACTGACTTAAGAATCCTCCATATTAACTCATTTGCTAGACTCAATAATCACTGGAGGGGGACAATCACCTACTGGGTCCCCTAAACACACAGGTGACCAATACCCTTCCTTTACTAACTAACTTTATGACTGCTGACTAATAATCATAGCTGATACTTAGCTGATGTGCCAGGCACTGGACTAAATGCTTTGCTAATACACTCTCTGAATGAATCCTCACAACCATTTCACGAGTAGGTATCATTTACCACAACTGTGGAAACTGCAACCCAAAGACAAAGCATTTGGTTGAAGTGAACTGGACCATATGCAATGGACGTAAGCTATGGAGCCAGCAATCTAATTCCTGAGTCCAACTTCTTAACTGCAAGGCCTTCGCCGGGCAGAACTCATGTGACTCTCCCGGGGCAGGCCCTCGGGTCTAGAACGGATTCTGGTAGGTTCCATATGGAGCCCTCGTTGTCCAAGAACCCAGCAGGCGGCCAGTGAGCACGGTGCCTGGGGCGGGGATGGAGGGGCAGTCATGGGAAGAGGAGAGAGTCCGCGACGTCCTCATGGGTGAGGAACGCAGGGACTTTGCCGGTATGCGGGCTCCGTGCCTCCCCGCCGGCGTCAGCTCAGCGGACCTGGCCACCAAGGAAGAGCGGGGCCCGGAAGGAAGTCGGCGCGCGGCTTCCGGCGCGCGCAGATGACGTCAGGACCGCGCTTCCGCGTCGGGGAGCGGGCGGCGGATCCCGGGAAGTGCACACCCGGGGTCCCGGCGGCGGGGTGGCCCGCGGCCCCACGGCGGGATGCACCGCCGCGGGGTGGGTGCCGGCGCCATCGCCAAGAAGAAGCTAGCTGAGGTGAGGGGGAGAAGGCCGACCCGCAGCCATCTCTGTCGGCGGGAAGCTGGAGTCTCTGGGGCGGAGAGCTCTGCATCCTCCAGCTGCCTCCCATCCATCTGACCGGGCTTCTGGGGTCCCCGGTTCTCTGGCTTCCGGTAGATTGGAATGTCAGCACCCCCAAATCGACCAACCCTTTCCCCCACTTCCCCAAATTTTACTATAGGCATTCGTCCATTCTACTTCCTCATCCCTCTTCCTAAAAAAAACAGTTAAGAGAGACCTTCTTTTCAGCCGAGGCAGTCTGAGTGGGTGCCCCCAGCGCCCCCTCTCTCAACTGATGCCAGTCTCTTTGTCTGACAGGCCAAGTACAAGGAGCGAGGGACTGTCCTGGCTGAGGACCAGCTGGCCCAGGTGAGTCGCTTGGAAGGCTCTGGGTAGGAAGGGAGACCTCCCAAGGCTGGACAGGACACATCTGGTTTAAACTAGATTGTTTGGGTTGAGTTAAAAATAGGATATTTGGCAAGTCCTGATTTCTGAGCTCCTCAGATCTGTTAGGTGGCTTGCTAAGAATAATGATAGTTGACATCTTTGAGTGATGACGTGCTCACAGCCTCCCAGGCATGTGTTCGTTTTCTTTACATAGACTGCCTTGTTCGTTCATCCTGACAATCCTGCCAGGAAGGAGCATTGTTCTTCCGAGTGTGAAATGGAGGACCCTGTAGTATTTCGTAATTTATCCAAGGTTACATGGGTAGTAAGTAGTCATGCTGTTTGACTTCACGGTCTTTTGGAGTTTTTACTTTAAATTCCTAAGACTTTAAATTCCTAAGAATAGGGATTCTTTATCTTTTTGGTGGATCGGGGGTTGAGCTTCAACCTATGAACCAGGAGGTCACGGTTTGATTCCCGGTCCAGGCATATGCCCAGGTTTTGGGCTTAGTTCTTCTTCTCAGAAATCAATAACCATATGTTAAAAAAAAACCTTAAATTCCTAAGAATAACATGAAAATATTGCCTACTCTATGGCAAACAACACCACGAAAATCATGTCTAGGTACATACCAGAAGTGTGTACGAGTGATGGATGTGCTCCTGCAGTTTCCTTTTCTAATTACCAGTACTTCCCTTTTCTGTGCTGGCCCTGAGTTTACTCAGTTATTGTAACTGGTGAAGAAGAGAAGAAAGCTGTTAAGCAGAGAAATCGGCCCTTGAACTGAGTAAAGATAGTAGGCACAGGCTATGCTTTTCAAAAGCTCTCACTGGGAGATGGCATGCAGGAAACAACCGGAAATGATGACTAAATAGTGTGTAAGTTTCTCATGTGCATCAAGTGAAGAGAGATTGGGCCAGACAGAACTCTTGGTGGGGTAGAAGAGAGGCTTTGTGAGAAGGAGTAATACAAACAAGACGTCCAAAACCCCCCAAATGTTTGTATTTAACTTTGGAATGTAATCTGGAAGAGCCACAGCCCTCAGTCAGGATTCTTTATCTGGAATTGATCCCCAAGGAGGTCCATGACTCAGATTAGAAAAACACTGCAACTGCAACACCTAATTCATACCAGGTTTCCTTTCTCCTATCCAGCCTTGCTTTCAGTGGTGAAGATTTCCCGTCACATGCATGCTGCAGTCCCTCATTTTGAAGACAAAATGAATCATTAGATTCATCTTCAATTTAATAACAATTTTCCTAGGGGGGGAAAGTACCACATTAGATATGCACATTGATTGTTAGATGCATCTTGACTTTAGAACAGGAAAAAAAATGTATATTTTAGAAATAAGGAAACATTACTGCATCTCATTTCTACGGATAACAGGACTGTGAGGGAGAGGCAGGGATCAAAAGAAAGGGAACAGAAAACAGCATAATGGCAGGCCTGAGGACGTAGCTTACTTCAGTGTTGGCACTGCTTTGCACTGGGCCAGGACCTATTTTTGACATCTGATTTTCTTTTTCTTTTTTAATATATTTTATTGATGTTTTACAGAGAGGAAGGGGGAGAGATAGAGAGCTAGAAATGTCGATGAGAGAGAAACATCGACCAGCTGCCTCCTGCACACCCCCCGCCAGGGATGTGCCCTCAACCTACGTACATGCCCCTGACCGGAATCAAACCTGGGACCTTTCAGTCCGCAGACCGACACTCTATCACTGAGCCAAACCGGTTTCGGCTGACATCTGATTTTCACCTAGGGGTGCTAACCTTATCCTCCCCCTTGTCCATCTTACAGATGTCAAAGCAATTGGACATGTTCAAGACCAACCTGGAAGAATTTGCCAGCAAACACAAGCAAGAAATCCGGAAGAATCCTGAGTTCCGGGTGCAGTTCCAGGATATGTGTGCCACCATTGGGGTGGATCCTCTGGCCTGTAAGGAGCTGTCTGTAGGAGTCTGTGTTCTCCTAGGATTCCCAAGGGACAGAAGATACCTAGTTGTTATCACTGCTGGTACAGGGGCATCTTCTAGAGGGGACTGCAGGGAGATGGAGTGTTGTCTTCCAGTTTGATGGGGAAGATGGAGAGGCTGGAATGCAGGTTGAGGAGCCAGTGTTCTTTTTTTGAATGATCTACAGTGGAAATTTTTATGGCTATTTTTTCCCTTTATTACAAAATATTTAGTTTTAATGAAAATAATGTTTGGTCATACAATCAACAAAGGAGAAAAAAGAAAAGGAGAAATTAGAAGTCTTCTCAGTCCTATATTTTCAGAGATAAAGTACTGTTAAGGTACATCTTTCTAGACACCTTCACGTTTATAAACTTCACATATATGGGATTAATGCTCTAAGTACAACTGTTATCTGCATTTTCACTCAAAATACTGTCTTCAATAGACTTTTTAAAATATATTTTATTGATTTTTCAGAGAGGAAGGGAGAGAGATAGAGAGCTAGAAACGTCTATGAGAGAGAAACATCAACCAGCTGCCTCCTGCACACCCCCCACCGGGGATGTGCTCGCAACCAATGTACATGCCCTTGACCGGAATTGAACCTGGGACCTTTCAGTCCGCAGACCAACGCTCTACCACTGAGCCAAACCGGCTTCGGCTGTCTTCAATAGATTTTTGAATGCTAGGTCTGTGTATTTCTCTGAGCCTTGTCTAGACCATATGTCCCATTGTGTTTCACTGCATACTTTGGGAAAGGAAAATTCATTTTTTATGGTATCTTGAGCCAGAATCAGCAGCCAAATAGAAATGCCTTTTAGATTGCCTACCCTTTACAACTGTCTGAGCCTGTTTCAGGAGTCAGATTGTGCGAGGATCCTACATAACACTGGAGCAGAAGGACTTAAGGCTGCAGGGAAGACTTCCCATAGGGTAGCTTTGAAAGAAAAAATGTAACTAATGGATACGTGGCTTTTGTCTTTCTTTTAGCTGGAAAAGGATTTTGGTCTGAGATGCTCGGTGTGGGAGACTTCTATTATGAACTGGGCGTCCAGATTATTGAAGTGTGCCTGGCCCTGAAGCACCGCAATGGAGGTGAGGGTGGGGAGGTTCTGAGGACTGGGCTTCTGATTTCTGAGAGAGAATGAACCTTGAAAAAGAACCTTTCCCATCCTGCCATCTCCAGGCCAATAAGGTCTTGAGAAGCATCTTAGCCGCTTCATGGAAGGCAAATGGAATTACCTGAAGGATTGTCTCTATTCTTCAAAGATCTTTGGCTAGGAAGGTCTAGCCCCTAGTCATCGCAGAAAATAGCAGGGAGGTAGGAAGTAGGGCATGATAATGCCAACTAAGCGTCTGTGTTCTCTAAAATGGGACTTTAGCCCTGGCTTAAGTTGGCCGAGCATCATCCCTGCACCAGGTCACTGGTTCGATTCCCAGTCAAGGCACAGGCCCTGGTTGCAGGCTCTATCTTCGTAGGGAGTATTCAGGAGTCAGCTGATCATTAAATGGTCTGTGTTGAAGTTAAAGAGAAAACCTAAAAAACTGGTTATAAATCATTGGTTATAAAAAGACAGCATTGATGAGAAGATAGCATTTATAGTTTTTCAAAGATGCTGCTGCCTTTGTTTGTTTTATTAGCTCTAAAGGTAACCCTTCCCCTGCTTTCTGTCTCCCCTTTCCAATAGGTCTGATAACTCTGGAGGAACTGCATCAACAGGTGCTAAAAGGAAGGGGCAAATTCGCCCAGGATGTCAGCCAGTAGGTCTTAACTTCCAACCTCTTGGAGCATAGAAAGGTCTTTAAAAAGCAGATGGATATCTTTCCTCCTTACTGTCCTATGTCTAGAATAGTTTAGGAATTATTTTACTCCTCATTATGATCAGAAAACTCAAAATATAGAGATAAAAAACACACAAAACCATTATTTCTCAACTGAGAGATACAACTGTTAAACATTGGATATATTTTCTTCTAAGTTTTTTCCTATGCATACATATGTATATTTTTATATTTTATTTTTTAAAAAATATATTTTATTGATTTTTTACAGAGAAAGGGAGAGAGCTAGAGAGCGAGAAACATCGATGAGAGAGAAACATCGACCAGCTGCCTCCTGCATACTCCTACTGGGGATGTGCCCGCAACCAATGTACATGCCCTTGACTGGAATCGAACCCGGGACCTTTCAGTCCGCAGACCGACGCTCTACCACTGCGTCAAACCGGTTTTGGCCATATGTATATTTTTAAACATTCTTGGGTCTTTATATACTCTTGAGATTGAGATCAGGTAGAGTGGCAGGCACCAAGAGAGGCTTGGGAAAGGGGATTGGGCTGGAAGATGGGGTATAAATTGTTCTGGTCACCCAGCCTCTGGTGTGACTCCAGTTTGAGAAAAGGTAGAAAAGGTTGTTAGCATGTTGGCTGAATATGTGGGCTACACATTGCTGTGCAGGTTTTCTTTTTCTCTAATTTGAGTTGGTTTGTTGAGTGGGGAGCCTGACCATCTTTAGATGCAGTTTGGTGTCCTTGAATCCTCTTTTTAGTGAAGTAGTTAAATGTACAGCCTTTGGAGTCTTCTTTCAAGGTGCTCTGCCCTGGGCAGAGGAGAAATTGCACTGTTGCTGGGTTTGCTCTGCAAACGGTCTTTCAGCAGCTCTTCCTCACCTTAGAGATGACCTGATCAGAGCCATCAAGAAACTAAAGGCACTTGGCACTGGCTTCGGCATCATCCCCGTCAGCGGCACTTACCTCATTCAGTCTGTGCCAGCTGAGCTCAACATGGATCACACCGTGGTGCTGCAGCTGGCAGAGGTACTGATGTGTACATGTGCGTGTGCATGTGTGTATGTGGGGGGGAGTAAGGAGGGAATTCTGGAGCATCTTTGATCTCAATCACTCAGTCTTTTTGCTGAAACTGTCTAATGGAGGTACTACTCAGACCTGTGCTTGTTGAGCAGACATTTATTGAGCAGCTACTGTGCAGCGCACTGGGCTAGGCTGTGGCCATATGAAAATGGGTACTACATAGTTCCTGCTCTCAGGGAGCTCACAGTCTAGTAGACAGACATGCAAATAACTAACTGTATTTCCTTGGGTTAGACAGATTCTTGGATGTCTTAAAACTATCCACTGGATTCTTGAAAACAAATTTTTAAATCTTGTTTGCCATCCAGTTCCTCCTCATGCTTTAAGCATAGGCCATCCTCCCCCAAATGGTTATCATGTATTAAAGGAAGACATGTTCAGTCTTCTTAATTCTGCAATGTAGAACAAACCTAATAAGGGAGGGGCTTTTCTTGATTGGAGAATAGGTAGGGTGAGATGGGCAGGGGCTGAATATTTAAATATTTTAGATTATTACTTTTTCCAATCACTTAATCATTCTGAATCTTCCCTTGTCACACTAGAGTTCGCTGAGAAAGTAAAAATTAATGTTTTAGTGCCAGGGACTCTACTTTTTAAGACTGAGTCATTCAACCTACCTGTCACCCCTCCCTTCCTCTTCCTCCCTCTGCTGGGACCTCTAAACATTGTTTTTCTATGCTCTTAGGCTTTCTGTGTCCACAGTTCCTCCTTCTGTCAGGATAAATCAGTTGTCCCTGGCAAAGGCTGGGTTCTAAAAATTCCCATTCCTCCTTCCTTCAGAAAAATGGTTACGTGACTGTCAGCGATATCAAAGCCAGTCTTAGATGGGAGACAGAGCGAGCTCGGCAGGTGCTGGTAGGTGACTTTCGGAATGGCCCAGAAAAGGTGGGCCCCAGATGGGAGGAAGTGGGTGGTCAGGAACCACAGACAGGAGGTGCAGCCTTCATCTGCTGGCCTCTTGCCTTGAAGCTATTGCTGCCACACGGAAAGTAACCCTGGCATTTCACTGAAGATGGCACTGAAAGGTAGAACACATAAAGGCGGCTTCTAACCTCGACACGTGTAAAACCGGCTGCCACTAATGCTGGAGGATCAACACCTGCCCTGTGCTGACCGGTAGAACTTGGTCAGATGGTTAATATAGTTTATACTGAAGTAACCGTTCAGAGTGAAATTACTAACACTTATGATAATTACATACCTAAGTTATGTACTATTGCATATATATCTATAATTATATACTGTTGCATATAGTTATAGTTTTATATATACAAATTTCATGGTATAATACTAATGAAAGATTGATGTGGTGAAACAGGAAGTAGCATGGAAATGTAGGCTTTTAATACCTTCTTTCTTATCCAATTAACCTGTTGACACAACTTCATCTGTAATGTTAACATAGACATCTGTAAAGATAACATACACATCTGTTTAATATTGGGCAGAGCAAACTAATCTCCAGCCTATTTCCAGCTGTAGGAATTGGGTCCATTGTAAATACTAATAATGACCTTGCATGACGTTCTCCAAAAAGGTTTACCCACATTACACAGTAAATTAACTGGAAGATAGTGATTTCCATTTTGCTTCAGGGAATGGAGTCTGTGATTAGCTCAAGGCCATATGCAAATACTTCTGTAGTTTGTGCCTTTTTTTAGAGCAGCACAGGTTGACTTGGCATTTCTCACACCTCAAAGGTTCAGGCCAAACATCAATACAGTTTGGTTGGGTAAATGTGTGAAGGCACTTGTGTAGGCTTAATTTGAAAACCCCATTAAAGCCAGAATAAAACGGGATTCTCTACCTTTGTTTGTGGGAACTCCCCTTTCTCAAAGGATTCTTCCTTTTCCCTCCAGGAACACCTGCTGAAGGAAGGGCTGGCCTGGCTGGACCTGCAGGCCCCAGGGGAGGCCCACTACTGGCTGCCTGGTCTCTTCACTGACCTCTACTCCCAGGAGATTACAGCTGAGGAGGCCAGAGAAGCCCTCCCCTGACGCTGGGAGCGCGGAAGGGGGCTCAGCAGCAGGCAGGGAGAAGAGGGAGGATCTGTGGGTAAATAAAACCTGGACAACTTTGTTAAAAAAAGAAAAAAAAAAGAAAAAAAAATACCACACACACAGAGAAATATGTTCCAAGTTTTTTTTTTTTTCTTCCCCCAATATTCTTCACTCATTATTTTATTTTTTAAAGTGCCTTCACATTGCATCTTTATTGGAGAAAACCTCATTTATCCAGGAAGGATAACCTGAGTAACAGAACAGCGAGCACGTAAGATGACTTGCACAGGTCACTGACAAGTCCATGTAGAGCTGGGCCTAGAATGAAGGCCATCCGTCTCCCGGCTTAGACAGTCTAGTCTCTGTAGCCCTGAGACATGAATTACAGCCTCTGTTAGTTCAAACTTACTCCTTATAAAATGTTTTTGTGTGTTTTTTTTTGTTTTTTAATCTCAAATGAGATCCTAACGTACTAGTAAATTATTCACTCTTCCAGCATCCTCTTAATGAGTGTGAAGGAAAGAGAGGTTAATGTTAAATGGTGGTTATAGGGAAGAAAACAATGGGACTTAAGGGGAACTGACTAATAGTGAATGTAATGTTTCTCAAATTCCCTACTAGCTTTTCCTCCGGGACTGATCACTAGGTTCTTACAGCCTTAGTTGTGGGAAAGGAAGTAATTTACTGAATCCCTACCCTGTGACCATTTCTATATACACCTCACTACCACCTTCCAAAAAAAATAGGTATCCTTAACTTTGCAGGTAAGAAATGTCATTTGCCAGGGACCACCAGTTTAAGAAGCAAAGCTAAAAGTAGAGTCGGGCCCACTAACCTGGGCCCTCACTGCAGGACATCCCCCACAAATGGTCTGAACAGGAAAAGCCTCTGCACCAGAAAAGCAGGGGTGGCGATGAGCAAGGCCAGTCAGTTGTTTTCAGTCTGAATGCTAAACTCCTAAGGTTGGCTTAGCACAGAAAACCACCCGATGGATTATCCACACTACGAGCCCCTTCCCTTAGGAGGGGACACAGCCCAAGTCCATCTTTACAGCGCTCTGTTCCTGTAGGACACGCTCACCTCCCAGTTTCTGAGCAGGTATATCTGGAAGCAACAGATTCCAATGGCTTCCTCTCCTTTACTGCCAGAGCTACAGCCTTGAAAAAAGACCCTATTTCTGGTTGATGGAAGTTTGACCAGCAGTCCTGCTCCCATCCACACCAAGTAACTTGTTTTAGCTTCCAGACAATTCGCTGAACACTTCCTTCCTGACCTAGGTGAGATGTGTGGTGGTCCATATCCCATCCTTCCTTGACACAAGCCCTCCCACACCCATAGGCGCTTCCTCCTTCTGCCAAACACTTTATTGCACCAAAAAGAAAAAAAAAACTTCATTTATGTACAGTCAGATATAAAGACATCTCTTTGACTCCTGTGCATATATTTCCTCAACTCAAGATTAGGGAGTAAAAGTCGGGCCAGTATGCCAGACATGCTCTGCCCATGACAGGGCCAAGGAGAAGATTGTCACTTGAAAGTGGGAACACTTACATGGATGACAGACAACACTGGACCGACAGACCAAGGGCATTCCTCTAAGCCCTGTACCAGCTCTGGAAATGGAAGAGGGAAATTGGAAGCAGGGTGCCTTTTGAGTCTCCTTACAGAAAGACTACCCTTTAGATATCAAAGATAAACTTCTGTTCTCCAAACCCACTTCCTGTCCAGTTTCTTTGCTTCTTGTCCTCCCAAGTAGGACATTCTCCTTTGTGCCCAACCCCCTTCCCAACTCACTTGGGGCAGTCCCGATTCACAAGGCAGAGGCCTCCATAGCAGCTGGAAGAGCAGATACAATATCCTCTCTTACATGTGGCTGGATACTGATTGGGGCCGTGTCAGGCGGGTCACCAATAACCCACTGGGAGCCATAACAGTAAGAATCTGGAAAGCATGAGGATAACTCCTCAAAAATGGGAAATATGGACTCCTTCGATGCCCAGTATCAGGGCACCTAAAGCACATTTTTCTGAGCCAACCAGCTAAAGGATCACTGCAGCTAAATACAGATAAGCACACAGCCAGGCAAACACCCATCAGAGCCAGTGACAAACAGCAGCTGGGAGGAAGGGACAAAGGGAGAGAAGGGCAGGAGTTTCCAGAGTCCACCCCCAATCTCTGCCATTGGCTACCCTTACTCCCCACTAGTCCCTGGGCCTGGACGTGAGGAAGGGGGACTATGGGCTGGGTTGGGAGCACACAAGGACAGCCAAACAAAATACAACAGGATCAGCATCAGCCTCCCCCTCATCCCCTCCAGGAGAAACACCCTCATTGTGACTAGTACTGAAAATCTGTGAGACTACTCTATATAGTGGCTCTATCATACATCCAGCAGCTGCCTGAATTGGGAACTTTTTGAATCAATGATTTTTGGGAATAAATAGTCCTTTCAGTTTCCTATGGTACCTGTGCAGGCTTTACCAAAACTTTGGTTCAGTCCCATCACATTTACCTTCTGTCTTACATCTAGAAATGGGAGAGGGGATGGGAGGAGAGAAAGGTGCTCAGGTGCTAAGTAAAACTCACTGATCAGCAGCCTAGATTCCACCACTGTTCCTTCTCTTTGGTCTGTCTAGAACAGTGACTATAAATTAGGGAAAACAGAACTATGCTGGCCCACGGAAAATAATGGGGGGAAAGAGGCAAGGAGGAAAAGGGCATGGGGAAGCCCTGCTTCAAACTGAAGACAGACAGACAACCAACCACCCAGACTGCTTAAGTATCACATACAGCCCCCCACCCCAAGCTCCCTTCCAAATATCCCATAATCGTTTGGGCACACTACCTCTTGGAATTGCAATTTCTGCCTCCCCACTATCCCTAAGGAGCTGGCCCTTCGGAGAGGTGTGTCGGTTGTTTTGTTTTTGCCAGAGGCCCTCGCCCTAGGTGCTCCTGCATAGGTCCCTTGGCCCCTGATATGGGATGAACACAGCCCAGATGCTCGAGAGCCAGGGAAGTCAGATCAGGAACAGCCTCCCCACTCCCACACCCTGGGAGATCCAAGCTTGCTTGGCTCTTGCCATCTTGCAGGATGACGTCACGCTGGAGGGAGATACAGTGCCTCTCCGTCCCTGGGGTGGGGGAAGAACTTGCTGGGACTCTCGAGCGGGGGAAGGGAGAGGGAGTAGGATCTAAACCCTCAAGCTCCCATGCAGGTCTGTCTCTGTCCCAGACGAGCTGCTGTCAGAGTCCATTTCGGCGTTTTCATTATGGAGCCTCTCCAGCACTTTCTGACGGATCAGTCCCAGGCGTATCAAGAGGGACTGGTAGTCAAAGTGGCCCCGCTTCTCTCCAAAAGGGTCCTGCAGGGGAAAGGAGACAAGGGGTTGGAAGATGCAAGTCTGGGGGCTCACCCTCGCGAGAGCAGCTTCAGGCCCATGTGAAACGCATGCTCAACTTCTGAATCACAGGAAGAGAGGAGGGCACAGCACAGACAGTTCTGAACAGCAGACAACACAATCTTTGTTCAGGAATATTATGGCACATGTACTGCCCCAGACAGGTCTGGCTTTGGCCAACATTCAAATGTGTTTGCATTCCTCAGAAACAAGCCAATATACAGAGGCGACACTAAAGGCAAGATAAATGGGGAGAAAAATACAGGACCAGGATTGTAATAAAGTGTATCTGTGTTTCCAATTAACCTCAAAAACTATACAAGGCGGAAATTATCCATCACTGCCTATAGAATAGGTCCTCAAATCACTCTGGTTCAACACTGATGCCTAGGAATGTAACTCTTCTTTTTATCAATTACTAGTGACCTGGTGCATGAAATTTGTGCATGGGACGGTGTGTGTGTGTGTGTGTGTGTGTATGTATGTATGTGGTTATCCTCAGCCCAGCCAGTACCTCTCCAATTGGGGACTTCATGGGGGATGTTCAACTGCTGGCTTAAGCCTGATCCCTAAACCAGCAGTTGGACAGCTGGCTCCTAACTGCTCACCTGCCTGTCTTATCACCCCTAACTGCCCTCTTCCCCTGCTGGCCTGATCTCGCCCCTAACTATTTTCCCCTGCCAGTCTGATCTTGCCCCCAACTGCCCTCCCCTGATGGCCTGATCGCCCCTAACTGCCTCTGCCTCAGCCCCCACCACCACTGCTTTGTCTGGAAAGAAGTCAGGCATCTAGAGGAAGATGGCTGATTGACCCAGTCTAATTAGCATATTACCCTTTTATTAGTATAGATGGTAAACTTGGTTATTTTGCTGCTGTTCCAAGAACTTAACATTAAATGAGGATTTACTGTACTCAAAAAGGGTAATTAGTTTTCTAAGGTCACAGTGAGGTATAGAATTCTGACTTCTAAATAAGCACCTGTACTCTTTCCCAGGGACCAATCACCATATTCCTGTCCAGGTTTCTGGGCACCACTCCAGGGCCAACTAGCCTTGATCCTAGTCCTTGTCATTCTAGATCAAAGATCTCCAAACATCATACAGAAAGGGCTTAACTGTCCTGCAAGTCCAAAAATAAATAGTTGGGATGAAGGATATAAAAAAAGGAATGAAAACAAAACAAAGAATTAAAGGTGCTACATAAGGAATATGGCAGCCTAAAGTAGCATGGCTGAGGCTCAAATAAATGGAGACTCCTTTCCTTGGCAGTCACAAAAGGCAAGGATTTTTACTTCTCACAATCTGTCTTCGTTACCCACATAAACTTCTTCCACACTCTGCCCACATAGTAACCTCATGATCAGGGACAAGGGCCGGAAGTCACCGTCTCTGGGACTACAGCGCACATTTTACACTTACAAAAGTTATATTCCCCCAAAGACTGAAATCCACTTACTCTGGAGCTACCAATTTCTAAATCTTCCTTTTAAAAAAAAATATACTCTTATTGATTTCAGAGGGGAAGAGAGAGGGAGAGATAGAAGCATCAATGATGAGAATCACTGATCTGCTGCCTCCAGCATGCCCCCTACCAGGGGATCAAGCCTGCAACCTGCACCCTTGTCTGGAATCGAACCCAGGACCCTTCAGTCTGCAGGCTCTATCCACTGAGCCACGCCAGCCAGGCCAGATCTTCCTTTTTTCGCCAATGAGTCCATTTCTACCCACTGTCCTTCCCAGGCCCCCTTTCTTGTCCTCATCATGAGTTATTTCTCCTTAATGGACTCAATATTGGAAATGCTGCTGGGTACCAGCAATGAGAATTCCTGATGGGGAACAAACCACAGCACCCATCATCTTCAATATATTTTTTAAAATAAATATTTTTTATTGATTTTAGAGAGACAGGATGGGAGAGGGAGAGAGAAAACATCAATGAGAAAGAAACATTGATCAGCTGCCTCCTGCACACCCATTGGGGATCCATCTGGAAACCTGGGCATGTGCTCTGACTAGGAATCAAGGCTCGATATACTCTTGAGCTGGCCTTACCCTTTGAGATTAAATGTGTCAGGTGGGTGTGCAGTCCTTGAAGGAAGGATAGGGAAACTAACATTTTTAAGTAGCACCTGAGGGAACAAGACATTTACTGCTGCTGCTGCTAGTGCTGGGTGGGAAGTGGGAGGGGGTGGGGCAGGAGAAGAACCCAAGAAGAGCTGGAGAGAACCTTAAGAGGTCTTAGTCATTTATCCAACTCGCCATATTCCTAAGTAACATCACCAGTAAGTGATCCAAAAGACTCAAGAACTAGTCCTTCAATACTATCGGTTCTCACACTCTACCAATCAGGCTGTTTATTTTGAAGCCTATTTGCAATTTGGTTTAATAAGAACGTCTTTAAAAAAAAAAAATTATTATTGATTTCAGAGAATAAGGGAGAGGAAGAGGGAGATAGAAACATCAATGATGAGGAGGATCATTGTTCGACTGCCTCTTGCATAGCCCACATTGGAGATAGAACCTGCATCTAGGGCATGTGCCCTGACTTGGATCGAACTGTCATCTCCTGGTTCATAGGTTGAACCTCAACCATGAGCCCCACTGGCCAGACTAAGAATCTCTTCTTTAAACAAGCCTTAAGTTCTGTATTCTTAAAAATAAATAAATAAAAAAATAAAAAATAAAAAATATATATATATATTTTTTAATTGACTTTAGAAAGGCAGGGAGAGGAAAACAGAGGGAGAGAAACATCAACGATGAGACTCATTAATTGGCTGCCTTCTGCACGCCGCCCCCTCCCCCTCCCCTCTTACTGGGGGTTGAGCCCGAAACCCAAGCTTGTGCCCTTAACCAGAATCAAACCCAGGACCCTTCACTCCACAGGCCGACACTCTATCCACTGAGCCAAACCAGCTGGGGCAAGTTCTATACTCTTATTGGAAGCAGAAGCACATTTCCCCAGTATATGCACAGAATGAATAATTGGTTACCATCTTGTAATAGGAATCTCAACATATAACACTATATACACAATACTTCTCTAAGCCTTCTTTCTCTTAGCACCCCTCTGGACTAGGGATGGAATCCAATAAATGACTCTACCCTTACAATTCTTAAGATTCTGAGAGCTGAGTGTTCTTGATTTGAAAAGACTACTGACCAAGAAGAGTTCTAGGCTAGCATCATTCATATTCTGCTCATGAGTGCCTAGTTTATGCTAGGAAATTCGAACCAACTCCATGTGGCTTTAGGCAAGTCAATCTCCTCTCTGAGTCTCAGCTACTCAACTAAACGAGGTTCTTTTTGGCTCTGAGTTCTATGAGAGGGGTGGATGTCCCTCTAGAGGGGGGATTTTACACAGTCTGCTGGAAGGCCTCTGGAGTCAACAGCAGGCGCCTCATTACCTGCATAGTCTGGCCTTGAAGATGCAGGCGATCTTTGCAGGCCACCTCATAGAAGTCATAATACTCCAGGAAGGACTTCTCCATCACTCCTCTGGAAAACAAGCAGAGAAGCTTAAGTTAGGAACAAGGGGGCAAGGGGTCACCCCTTCCTTATCTAAGCTTAAGGCCAAATTAAACAGCTAGAGTTCCTAAGCTCACGGTTAATTTCTCTAAATCTTAAGGATTATAAAATGAGTAACTGTTAATACCAATCATTCCAATCCCAACTTCAACTTATGTCTTGCTCAATTTCATTTGTTTTCCATAGGCCATCCTTGATTCCAATTCTTAATCAACATTTTCCAAGGAAGTTTGTTTCATTGCTCTTGACTTTATTCTTGTTTTAACATTTAGAAATAAAGTTGAACATTAAGATATATAGGTTTATTATGACGTGCTCTATAACGCTTTTGGCTGTAGGACAGTTATGTCTTTATTTTTTATTTTTATTTTTTTAATATATTTTATTGATTTTTCACAGAGATGAAGAGAGAGGGATAGAAAGTTAGAAACATCGATGAGAGAGAGTCATCGATCAGCTGCCTCTTGCACACCCCCTACTGGGGATGTGCCTGCAACTGAGGTACATGCCCTTGCTCGGAATCGAACCCGGGACCTTTCAGTCCGCAGGCCGACGCTCTATCCACTGAGCCAAACCGGTCCCGGCTCAGTTATGTCTTTAATATGGCCAGATTCTCGAAAATGGAGACTCCCTGAGGACATAAACTATATCTTTCCATCAGGTAGAGGGCCGCCTGGGAAGGCACATGGGCACTTTTCCTTAATTATTGTCAGCTGAACTCAAGGCGTAGGCAGAGCCACGCCCTGGGAACATGTTTTCCCAAGATGGTAGACATGTTCTCAGCTTGGCCTTCATATCAGCCCAGGTGTCGGCAGGGGCAGGACCAGGCATGCTAGGGCCTACTTAAGAATGCAAATAAGTTAGTGATAACTTCCTGGTATTGGGGTATAAAATAAATGCACTGGGAGGGGCCATCGTTGTCTTCTTCCTGTCTCTCCAACAGACAGGATGATGGCCCTCCAAGCTCCCAGCTTAAAATCTGTGTCTGCTCTATTTCTATTATTTCTCAATCCCTGGCCACCTCCACTTAGAACCGGTTCGTTCATCTCTCTTTCTGTGCGGGACGTGGAAAAGGGAGATCCCCGCCATGTCTGGCCCCCGCTGCATCAGGCTCCTGCATCCAAGAGCATAGAATCTCTCTCTCTCAACTCCTCTTGGGGAACCCTCTTGAACCACATGTTTTTAAACCACTTGCTTCTTCTCTGTCTCCCTCTGCTGCCCAACACTGGATTTTGCCTCAAAAGTTATCAAAGGTTCCCCTTTGGAAGCCAATAAACAAAACAAAACAAAACAAGACAAAACACAAAGGAATTAAAAAACCTGATGAACAATAGTAACTGTTGAATATAATAGAATCAGAGGTATGGAAGGGGAGTGGACTGATGATTCTCAGGGAAAAGAGGAGAGGGGGGTGTGGGAAGAGACTGACCATAGACTGCACCTATGGATGAGGACAATGGGGGGTGGGGAAAGGGCAGAGGGTGGGGTGGGAACCTGGCGGAGGGGGGGAAAAATGAGGAACTTTTGTAATAATATGAACAATAAAGGTTTATTAAAAATAAATAAATAAATAAATAAATAAATAAAAAATATTTACTGGAGAAAAAAAAAGTTATCAAAGGTTTGAACCAGCTATTGTAAATCTCCAAAAGAAATACAAGCTCCAAGCTCCTGAGACACATACCGTAAGGGTTCAGGGCAGGGACACCTTCCTTCCATCATGTCACAGACTGCCACTCTGATGGTCTCATGCCGAATACACTCATTGTAATTTTTGCTGTCTCCTGGATGTCTCTCCTGTAATGTGACAGACACCATAGAATCCAAGTACAAAGAGAAAAGCCAATGGGAAGAGACTTCAGAGTTAGTATGGGGCATGTGACCTAAGCAACTGAACAAAGGAATATCTTTTCACTGTATGGCAAACCCATTACAGAGCAGCCAGGCCTTCATTTTTGAGACTGTTTACCTCCTCCCAATGCATACTAATACCCATCTTCTGTTACGACTCATGTGATCTATAAGCATCAAACTAGATCCATCACATTTTCCAAAGCCTGAAGTGAAAGGCCTCCAGGGAAGGACTAGTGAGAAATAACCAGTTATGCATAAATGACGTAGGAGTCTCAGCCCAGAAAGTCTGTAAGATATCAGGATGCTTCCTGGTTAACTCTTTTACATATCTGTATGGATTCTACCATTACTGATTATATGTGAATTTCTCCCCAGTAAATACATCCATGTATTCAACCAACAGCTGATTAAAAACAGTATCTTCACATTCCCAACCATGAATAAAAAATACTGTTTTCAATCCACAGTTGGTTGAATAGATTGATGCAAAGGGCCCATCATAGTCAAAGTTATATGCAAATTTTCTTCCTTTTTTTGAAAAAAAAAAAAAAAAAAAAAATATATATATATATATATATATATATATATTGATTTCAGAGAGGAAGGGAGAGGGAGAGATAGAAATATCAATGATGAGAGAATATAATTAATCAGCCGTCTCCTGCATGCTCCCATAAACCTTGACCGGAATTGAACCCAGGACCCTTAAGTCTGAAGGCCAATACTCCATCCACTGAGCCAAACCAGCAAGGGCTGTACATAATTTTCAACTGTGGATTGTTCAAGGGTCAACTCTAATTTCCTAACTCCCACAGAATGCCTGGCTTGGCAGCAGTAATGACAGAACCCCTCACGAGGACATGAGGAATGGAGGCGTGCAGAAGAACACAGTGGGTAAGACAGCCCCCAAAGCAAGCCCAGAATTAATTTCCAAATGATTCCACTGACTTCCACATGTGGATTAATCCAAGTCAAATGGAAATACCTTGAGTGTTATTGTAACTTACAAGGAAAAAAAAATTCACTAATGAGAAGCACACATGTCAGCTCCTTTTTTTCTCCTAAAGTGACAAGTTGAATACATAGGCTAAGCCAGTTAAAAACAACAATCCCAAAACCCTTGAATAGACCTCTCAGATCTCTTAAAACCCAACATTCCACACCCCAGAGCTGGACCCACCTGGCCTTACCTGCTCAAAGCCAGGCTCATTGTGATAGGGGTTCTCAGTCATCAGGGACTGGATGGAGATAAGTACAGAAGAGATGCTCTGGGCTGGGCTCCAGGCAGGGCCAGTCCATGTACTGCAAAATACATCAGAGGAAATGGAAGAGGGATGAGGCACAGAGAGAGGGCGGAAGACCAGTACACAAGTACCCTGGGGCCTAGCAGCACAACCTTTCTTTCACTATTAATACTCTGGATTTTCCCAACCTCTGTCTCACCCTCTTTCACAGGAAATCAGTCAACTGCCTAATCCTCTTATCAAGTGGGACAAAAGAGGGTTAAAGCTAGCAAGATAACTTTGAAGGGATTTTCTTTGGGTTAGGAAAGAAACAGTAGCTGGGAAAGGTCCTGTTAATCAGAATGAAAGAAATAAGGTGAGAAAAAGCTCCAAAGGGAGTAAAAACATTAGCTTCTGTGGACCTCAGAGAGCTTAACTTACTTACTTATGGGTGTGGTGGAGTTAGGAGAGAAAAGTTGAGCACAGAGGGACAGAGGGGACAAAGCCATGTGGTTAGAGGCCACATGGTGAGATTGATGATCAGGGGTCCAGTTCTCTATCAAGCCCCCAAGGAGTGTCAAATTCTCTGAGGATTACAAATTCTGCCAAGGACATGAAGGCAGAATAGGGGCACTTCTATATTGTGGAGGGCCTGAAAATATATGGCAAACAACCTGAATGGGAGAGAAACACCAAACCACTCCTCCCTTTCATAAATCTGACCAAATAGTCAGTGGAAGAGGGCGGGCTGGACATTAATGGTATTTTTTTAGTAATTGATAAGACGGCACCTGAGCCACAAAACTGCTTCTTCAAGTTAGCTGGTCAGTTCTCCTTCCCCACTGGACTCGAGGAAAGCCCAAGGAAGCGATCTGAAACAGTAACTACGTCAGAGCTCGCCCTCCAGTACCTCTCAGTCTGTTCTCAGCTGCTCCCCCCAAAACTGTCAACTTTGTGCTAGGCTGTCACATATTCAGGGATTCAAGTCAACACGGTACTTTCATTAAATTTCTTTTGTAAGTCAGCCCAGCATTTTTTTCTAGGTAGGGAGGAAAGAAACGAGGCTGATACAAGTGAATATAATCCCGGGAAAGTTCTACTTCAATTCTTTGTGGCAAATTTTCAATTCTTGGGTAGCTTCTTTCCCACCCAACATACTTCTGCCACTTTTACCCACTACCATCTTGCTTCCCCTATTTCTACTGTGAGCCGGTGTTTGCTCAAAATAGTTTTATGTTGGTCTAATGAAAGAGAATTTAATACAAAACACTTTCATGAACAAACTTTATACAGAAGCAATAAATTTCTTTACCACTGTGGGTTACACAGGCCACTATCCTACCTGCAGACAGTTCTATACCCCAGTGAGATAAAGGGCTTTCTTTAAGGACAACCTCCTTTACAGGACTTCCTTACTGTCACAATCATAAAATATCCCCCTAGGTCTGAGAGATTAAAAATATATACGTCATGTCTCCAGTTTGTGTCAGCTACCTTGTCCACACACAACCCTGGAAGTTATTGGACAGGAAGAAAGGAAACTGGGTCACCAGCACGGGTAACTTTCTCAACCTGCACTTGCTCTCTGCCCCGGGGAAATTCAGACCACACTAAAAAGACCGATTCAGAATATATTAGAAGACATTTCCATTCTGAATTTTCAAACCCTTAATGCAATTAAAAGGAATGGATGAGAACTACACGAAGCAAAATCTCAGTTGCACCCAGAAATGAAATGTACTTAAAACTTCTGTGTTTTGTATGTGATGTGATTTCCAACCTCAGGCATTTTTCATTCAGTTGTTAAAATATTATAATTACCACCACCACCAGCACCGCCTCCAAAGCCACTCAACGAAAGACTCAAAAATAAGACACCCACAAGCTTGAATGGCACAGATCTGCAGCCTTTCTCAACCTGTTTGGGAGAGAATTAAGCCCTGATGCCCTACGGAGTGGTTCTCACGCCAGAGAGGGCAGCAGAATCGCCTGGAGGACGGAGAAGACACAGACGCTGGGCCCAGCCCTAGAGTTTCTGATACAGCAAGTCTAGGGCGGCCCCAGAATCTGCAAGGCGACATTCCCAGATGCTGGTGCTGCTCAGGGAGAACCACTTCCCTACGGCATCCACTGTACGGAATGAGTTAACTTCTCTCTTTTGCATCTGGAACAAGGAGAATTGAGGAAAGTCACTCCAATTGTTTTCTGTGTTCTGTAGTTGAGGCGAGAAACTCTGGTTGATAAAGGCTGGCCTAGAGTAATTATTTGCTAACAACCAACTTGGCCACTTAGAAGTCTCCTCTTACCCTAGAATACTCAAGCAGACTTTCCCATTGCGGTAGAAGTTGGGGTTAAACCTCACTGTGTTATTGCCCGTTGTCATCAGTTTGACCCGAGGAGGGTGGATGGGATAGTCGGGCGGACACCGAAACACGAACAGGAAGAAACCCCCTTCATAAGGAGTGTCAAATGGGCCTGTGATCAATGCATGAATCTGCAAAATAAAACCCCATCTCAAAATCGTGAGGTGATGTCCCATCCCAACCCCTCCTGGCTTCCACCTGCTACCCGTGCTGGAAGCAGGACCTTCATCTGGGAGCCACAGTCCATATCCTCTCCATGCAGAATGAACAGCCTGTACGCACTCATATGAATATGTTTGGCCCAGTGGAGTGGCATCTTACTCAGGGGTTACATTCTAAAGGTAGGGCCTAAGGTGAAAAGCCAATCTAGTCAAAATCATCCTGGAGTATCCTTAAAACTCCCTTAGAGCCTGTTTTTTTGCTTGAACTTCTCTGACCAGTGTTAGGTATAGCAAATGGATAGAACACCGATGTGCAAAATATAATGTGCATCTGTAAAGTCTTGTCCTAACGTATTTTAAGAAATATGTATTTTTTTCTGAATGTGTGTTTGGATTTGTCCAAGTTTAACATGCGTATGATGCAACTCCCCCCTCCATCTGTGTGGCACGAAGGGGAGGTGGGATGCATGGAAAAGAGGAAAGGGCCTGGAAGCCACCACACGGGTGCCGGCGTCGGTGCCGGTGCAGAGCTGAGGGGTGTGCTGGAGGCCTAGGTGTCTACTTCCTCTCCAGAGGACCAAACCCACTGGAGAGGGTGTGGCTCAGGGAGCGTCCAGCTGTGTCAAAGGTACTAAGAAAAATATGAAAACCTCATGGTCTACTGAAGAGCCATTAGACCATCCCCAGAGCTTTCCCCAACACTGTAGGTTACTTTTTTTTTTTAATTAAAAAGGAAAAATGCAGTAGCACTTAAAACAGAATTCACTAAATTCTCTTCCTCCAGCCATGATTATTGAACTGTTATGTTTCTTCTACAAAGGTTCTTAGGCATGTGAGTCGACTCAGAATTTGAACAGCAAGAAGGGCCTACAATCCAATGCTTCAGTGTAAGTCCTCATCTCGCTCTGGTGGCACCCTAGGTTATTAGCCCTCAGTCATTGGAATAGCAAGCTCAACTGGTATCAACATGGCATCCATTCTGGGAACCTAGGGACTAGCATATTAATAATGATACTTGACTGAGGACAAGATGTTCCAGGAAAAACATTTTTAACCACAAAAAATTTTGTTAATTGAAAAAGAAATTGAAAAAATTTTGTTAATTGTATTGTTGGTATCATAACAGATACCAACAATACAAAATTTGAATTTCTGCTGTTAAGAAATTTGAAACTCTGACTTTTCATTAAACATGAGATTTAGGAAATCTGATTTCTTCCCAACATCAGTTTAAGTGCAAATTCACTTCTGAGGATAGAACACTCAATGACAGCAAAGCCCGTGTATCTATGCCAGAGAAATCGGACGTTACATACTAGGCTTTTTGTGTTTCGTGTGTGAAGGACCAGAGAAGAAAGGTATTTGGGTGGGAGGGATACTCAAAAGCAACCAGTAGGGGCAGGAGCCTAATGCCTTTTAGCTACAAACACTGTTCACTTGAGCTTGCCCTAGCCCCAACCTTCTCTGCACCTGATTTATAGCAGCTTACTTAAAGGCCAAGAGTGGTGGGGTGGGAGAAGAGTTGGGTAGTGCAATGGTAGGGTGACCACGTAATTTTTACCCAAACTGGAGCACTTCTGAGAATGAGACAGTGCTCTATGAATAGTTAAGCTGGAACAAGAGGTGTAAAAGGATTTTCCAAGCCAAGCAGGACCTACTGGCACCCTAATAAGACACCTGCCCAAGGCTTTGTTCCACCTCCCTGTGTACTCGGGGGGAGGCCATTTACTCTCGTGGGGGCTTGATTCCTTCTGTATGCAATCAGAGACGTGAGATGGGTAATCTTTTAGACTCTTCCAACTTCAGGGCCCCATTTCCCAACAAACCCCGACTCCCAGCAAGTCACATACCTTAGTCATGTCGACAGTATCAGGTACAACGAACATTCCCGGAGGCGGCTCCTTATAAATGGACATGATATCCCTGTATAACACCGAGAGGGGGTGGGGGAGGGAGTGAGGGAGAGAAGAGAAAAAGGGGAATCCCTTAAACAGGACAGCTGTTAGCACCTCAGTGAGGCCAGGGTTCGAGAAAGTGGTGCTTGGTACCATAAATGTTTGCACTGTCTTGTTGGCTGAGAAATCTCAGCTGAGTACTTGTCAGGCAGACAGAGAGCAAATTATTATCAAAGGGGCATTGTTTCCTCAGGGGAAGGATGAGGAGGGGGGGGCGGAATCAGAGATCCCAATGGCATCAGATGTCACCCCGGAAAAGCCACATCCCATTTACTCTCACTTCCTCCCACATGGCAATTCATTCACTCCCACCCCGGGGTTCTCAGGTACTCCGGCTGAATCTTAAATGAAAACTTTTTTTAGTTAACTGGGAAGGCACCATCAACCTCCCTAAAAAATGATTTCCATAAACCACTGTGGACCTTTGTTGGCAAGTGAACTGCCAGGGAGCGCTGATCCTCTTGCCCAGGGGATTGTAACAGGGCTGAAATCGCTTCAGGCTGGGAGGGGACCCTCCGAAACTGCTGAGAACCTCTCATCTGCAGGATGACAAGGAGTGGCTACTACATCCTCTCTCACAAACCGGAACGGATCAGTTGTAAGCAAGGGCCTAACGGGGAAAAGGCTAGGGACTTACAGGATACATAGGGACACGAAAAGGTGCAAGCAGAGAAAGTAAGGACTGGCCGAATTCAAGGCATGTCAGGATTGGAAAACTGTGTCCCGTGTCAAGCCAGGTTCTTTATTATACACAATGTGCTCTTTAATTCCCATTAAAGTCTACTTGGAAAGTGGGGGGAGTTGAACACCTAGTTGGACTGTACTGGGTGCGCGGGGAGAGAAAGTCTGGTCATCGGGAACCAAGTGTCAGGATTAATGGCAGCCGAAAAGCATTGCCCTTTTCTATGCCATAGGTTCCACGCTAAGCATGTTTGCAAAATATTACCTGCCACATGATATGATCAAGATCAGTCACCCAAGAAGCAAGCACAGAGGGGACTTAGAACCTCGTTCCTATGTTTGAGTTGGTACAGCTACTTCAGAAAAGTAAACCAGATAACCCATAGGAAAAAATACAGGGAAGAACCATCCTGACCGGGATATTACATGCCAGAGTGAGACTGGGGGGAGGAGGCCCGAGTTCCTGGAACAGGTGTGAGGGTGGGAGCGGTTCGGGGAAGACGGTGGGGATGTGAGGGAAGTGATCTGGACGCGGGAAGGGACTCTACGGAGGGGGTTTCAGGAAACGGAATAAAAACAAAGGCTGGTCTCGGGTCTGAGGCCAAGAAAGCAATCGATAGTGTGTGTGTGTGTGTGTGTGTGTGTGTGTGTGTGTTTTACAAACGGGGCTCGGGAAGGGACGATCAGGGGACCCGGAAGGGGGGGAACTCCAAGGAGCACCTAGCCAGGATGGGGTGGGGAAGGGGGCGAGGAAGAGGGGCGGGGCGCGGGCGGGAGGGGTGTCACTGAAGCGCGAAGGGGTCGGGTTTCGGGCAGGAGGGATGGGGGAAGGCTCCGGCGAGGAGACGGAGGGCTCGCCGGAGGTGGCCGAGGGGCGGGGTCGGACCTGGGCGCTGGAAGGAAGGAAAGAGGGGTTCGGTGCGCGTGGGGCCAGGAAGAGGGGGCTCGGGTCCCGACGCCCCGGGCCGGCCAGAGGGGGGCCTCCCAGCCGGGCTGCCGGGGGAGGCGCGCGAGCGGTGGGGAGCTGCGGCGGGAGGGATGGGGGCAGGGAAGGTCGAGCCCGGAGCTCGGCGCTGGGGGCGGAAAGCCCCGGCTCACCGCTTGATCCGGAGCAGACACTGCGGCGCGGTTCGCTCGCTGTCCCAATCGGAGCTGAGCGTGGGGTCCCAGTGGCTGAGCAGCGCGGCCCCGTGGGCAGCGGCCGAGGGCGGGAGCCCGGGCAGCGGAGCCAGGCCGCTCCCGGGTCCCCCGGCCCCGCCCGCCGCCGCCGCCGCCGCCCACACATCCGGCAGGAAAGGCGGCCCGAACCCGCCGCCGCCGCCGCTAACGCCGACGACACCGGCGACGCCGCTCGCCCCGGGGCCTGCCGCCCCGGCGCCCGCCGTCGCCGTCGCCGCCTCCTCAGTCGGACTCTCCGCCATCGCTGCTTCGCTTCCGGGACTGCTCGGCAGCACGTCCGCCGACCAGAGCGGCCGCTGCTCCCTCCCGCGCCCGCACCACCGAGAGCCGGGCCAGAGTGTCCCCACCCTCGGCGGCCACAGCCCGGCGGCGCTGGCCCCGCCCACCGCCGCTACCAGCGAGAGGCGCCGGGCCAGAGCGTCCACCGCGGTCCTCCAGGCGTCCACCCCCTCGGTCCTCCACGGCGGGCGGGGGCGGGGCCGGAGGGAGGGCCGGGGCTCTGGGCTGCAGGGGCGCCGCGCTGTGAGGAGCGAGGTCCCGAGGCGTCTGTCTCCCCGGGCGCCTCGGGGCGGCTGACAGCCCAATTCTAACGTTTCTCTCCAATGCTGAGAGGGGAGGAGAGGGAGGGGGGGAGGGAGGGCCACGTCCCTGCTTAGGGACAGCGGCCCTCAGACGTGTCCGAGGTCGGGGGGCCAGGGAGACGCTGGACAGACTGGGATGATACCTCGTGCAGGTCCCTCGCTGTCCGAAAGGCCCTGGGACTTCTCCTTCCTCTCTGCACCCTCACTGCTGCCACTGCCCCTGCCTGCACCAGGACCGAGAGGAAGGAAGAAATCAGAACTGCGAGTTAAAAAAACTACCTCGTTTTAGTGTGTATTCGATATATATTTATGAAGAGACTGTGAAATGCCAGCACTGTTGCTAGGCGTTGCCATACGGATCAGGAAACAGACCTAGAGAAGCTTGGTGAAGGGAAAATTCAGGCCTCCTGACTCCAAGCTCGGTGTTTTTTTTGTTTTGTTTTTTTGTTTTCTTCACACAAGCCCTTGAAGATACAGGAACCAAGCAAGGGGCAGTGAGTTTATCCTGGAAGGATTCCTCAGGTCTTTCCTGATATATGTAAGGTGAAAAATAATACTGTGGACTAAGAAAAACAGCTTTCTAAAAAAAGCTTTCCCTTTTCTCCCTTGCAAGATCACAAGCTCATAATCGTGTCCCGAAAGCCTTGAGGCCAGATGTGTTTCAGAATTTAGAGCAATACTTAGCAGCAGGGCCTGGGGCAGTACCAAATACCCAAACATTGACGCTTCTACTGTAAAGTGTATGAATAATCATACTAATGTGGGTGCCCTCATGCATATTCACACTTAAGCCCACAGAATAGCTTCACTTTGGATGATATTTTTTAAATATATTTTTATTGATCTCAGAGAGGGAGAGGGAGCGATAGAAACATCAGTGGAGAATAATTGATCATTGGCTGCCTCCTGCACGCCCCCTACTGGGAATCCAGACCAAAACCCAGGCATGTGCCCTTGACTGGACTGAAACCTGGGATCACGTAGTCTGCAGGCCAACGCTCCATCCACTGAGCCAAAACGGCTATGGCCAAAATTTTTTTTTTTTAAGTGCAATTTTGGTCCTTGCTGGGTAGCTCAGCTGGTTAGAATATTGTTTGGATGTGCCAAGGTTGCGGGTTCAATCCCTGATAAGGGCACATACAAAAATCAACTAATGGGCCTAGCTGGTGCGGCTCAGTTGGTTGCTGGTTTAATTCCTGGTTAGGGCACATGCCTGGGTTTCGGGCTCCATCCCCTGAAGGGAGCATGCATGAGGCAGCCTATCAGTGTTGCTTTATCTTCCTTCCCCACCCCTCAAAAAAAATCAATAAATTTTTTTTTTTAAAGAATCAACCAATGAATATTGATGATTCTCTTTCTCTCTCAAATCAATAGATAAAAATTACACACACACACACAAACGCCCACTTTTCACAACTTTGTGATTTCCAGTAAGGGACTGTGTTCTTTTTTTTTTTTTTTTTTAATATATTTTATTTTTAAACATATTTTATTGATTTTGTACAGAGAGGAAGGGAGAGAGATAGAGAGTTAGAAACATCGATGAGAGAGAGAGTCATCGATCAGCTGCCTCTTGCACACCCCCTACTGGGGATATGCCCGCAACCAAGGTACATGCCCTTGACCGGAATCAAACCCGGGACCTTTCAGTCCCCAAGCCGACGCTCTATCCATTGAGCCAAACCAGTCTCGGCTGTTAAATATATTTTATTGATTTTTTACAGAGAGGAAGGGAGAGAGAGATAGAGAGCTAGAAACGTCGATGAGAGAGAAACATCGGCCAGCTACCTCTTGCACACCCCCTGCTGGGGATGTGCCCGCAACCAATGTACATGCCCTTGACCGGAATCGAACCTGGGACCTTTCAGTCCGCAGACCGACGCTCTACCACTGAGCCAAACCAGCTTCGGCAGGGACTGTGTTCTTGAATGAAAATGACGAACATTTATTGATAGCTGAAAATTTGTGGGGATTTTTTTTTTAGCTGTTATTGAGACTTAATATGTGTCAAGCTCCTTGTATACTTTGTCTTATTCCCTTGAAAGATCCTATGAAGTAAGTACTATTCTTAGTCTGTTTTGACCGATGGAAAAAGGTTCAGTCACTTACAGGGGTCACACTGAGAGCAAGCTGCAGAATTAGGGCTGGACGCCAAATCTGCCTGACTCCAGAGAAAAAGTTCTAACCACTAGGTCATACTGTCACAACCATCAACGCTGCCTGCATTTCACTTACCGCATTTTACCTTATCCCAGTTGTCCTTTGGTAACTGTTGCTCCCACTCCCAACACACACACACACACGCTTGGGTCTCCAGACCATATACTAGTATTTGTGAATCCAGCACAGGACCTGGCCCAGCTTAGGTACGTAACATGAAGCAAAATGAATCAATACAATATTTTATACAGCCAAGACCGGTTTGGCTCAATGGATAGAGCGTCGGCTTGGGGACTGACGGGTCCCAGGTTCGATTCCAGTCAAGGGCATGTACCTTGGTTGCGGGCATAACCCCAGTAGGGGATGTGCAAGAGGCAGCTAGCTGATCGATGACTCTCTCTTTCATCGATGTTTCTAACTCTCTATCTCTCTCCCTTCCTCTCTGTACAAAATCAATAAAAATATATTTAAAAACTATATATTTTATACAAATTTCATGATTCGTTGACACGGCGTTTTACCGTTCTGTAATACAGATGCTAGCATATCTCAGAAAGAGTACACAAGAAAAGCAGCCGGGTTGCCTCTGGATGATTTAGTTGCTGACAAGGTGTGCCGAAGGGATGGAGAAATCTATCTCTTTATGCCTTTCGAATGTTATACTGTGCATCTGACTATTCAAACGGTGTGTTTTATTGATTCTTAATGGATTTCTGAATGTTGCCTGGGTATTGATTTAGTAAGATGGTCCAAAAGCCTCACACACTGAAAAACACTCCTCCGGACACTCCTCCATGGCTCCGCACTGCAGAGGCCCCGCTCTGGACTCCCGGGGAGAGGACTCCTCCGTGTCCCCTCCTCACTGCTGGACCATTGTTTCCAAGTACAAGGTCCGTTAGCGAGGGGGCAATGAACAGAGAACACTTACCTTAGATCTGAAGGATCAAGCTTTTGATTTGTACCATATGGCAAATATCTAATGTTAGCCAACTTCTGCATCCATAGAATGATGATATTTCCAACCTCTCAGGGTTTTTTGTTTGTTTGTTTGTTTGTTTTGAGGATTAACTGTGACATCTCCAGAAATGTTCTGTCAAGTTGCAAGCACTATCCGGCTCATTGGCATCTCTCCTGCCCATGTACCTTCTTTCCCCCTTTGCTCCGATTTCCTCTCCCTGGAATAGCCTTTCCCTCTACCGGGGGGAATTGTAGTTATTAAACTTGTCCAGTCTCTTTCCCTCATCAGTAATATCGGGAAAATAATAGGAGCTCTAAACAAGTAATAATGTGATAATGAATGCGCACAATACCTGGCCGGAGTGAATGCTCAATAATTAGCTCTCATTACGTTTACAGGACTCGCCTTCAAGGCTGGCTGGAATATGACTTTCTCGGCCAAGCCTAAGACCTCCAGGCACATTATTATTAGTCATTTTTAATTACCCCATCCTCTGGAGCAATTCGTACCTTTTTTATGGCACATACTTTTTATTTTAGCGGTTTGGTTACTCACCGGTCTAGCTCCTGCAGATAATGTCCTCTAGGCAGGATGCACGGAGCACCAATCTTGTACCGCCAGAGGGCAAGAGTATGGCTTCTGGAGCCTCTGATGCCCTCTGGGGGTGCATGACACAACCCAGTGGTCTTCCTGCAGTAAGAGGAGCCAAGCCTCTTGCTTCCCTCCCCAGGAGTGGACTGCTCTGCATTGAACTTTTTTTTATATATATTTTATTGATTTTTAATAGAGAGAAAGGGAGAGGGATAGAGAGTTAGAAAGGTCGATGAGAGAGAAACATCAACCAGCTGCCTCTTGCACACCCTTACCAGGGTGTGCCGACAACCAAGGTACATGCCCCTGACCGGAATCGAACCTGGGATCTTTCAGTCTGCAGACCAGCGCTCTACCACTGAGCCAAACCAGCTTCGGCTGCATTGAACTTTTTATTTATTTTATTTTATTGAATTATTTTGTTAATTTTCACCAGAGGATTTTCTTTTCCATTGGATTTTAGGGAGAGTGGGAGAGAGGGAAAGACTAGAAACATCAGTGTGAGAGAAACACATCGATTGGTTGCCTCCTGCATGAGCCCAAACCAGGGCCTGGACCAGGGAGGAGCCTGCAACGGAAGCACCTACCCTTGACCAGAATTGATTGTGGGATCCTTTGGGGCCAGATAATTCATTGTTGTGGGGACCCTCTATTCACTGAACCAAACCAGCTAGGGCTGCATTGAGCTTTTTATGCAATAAAGTTGGTAGTGCCTTGCCCATGGCACTTGGCAAGTGCCCTTCCCCAAGGACGAGGCCAGCAAGCATCCTAGAGTCCAGGTCACTGCTGTGTCTCAACCCTCTCTGAAGATACACTGTTCAGATCCTTCTTCTCCCCTTCCCCCAAATCCTGTCTCCCAGTGCTCTCTGGAGAATCCTTCCCCTCCAGGGCCAGCCTTTGTCCTGGGCTCAATGCCAGGGAAAGATGAATTCCCACCGAGGCCATACATTCTGTACTAAAAGGAAAAGTTAGAACGTGGACTGGGCGATTTCAGACTTCTGACTATAAGTAGGAATAGTTATATTTAAAATTTTAGTAATACCTATATTATCACATATCTCAATACATCTTGAT